GGATGATGAGGAATATGAAGAGATTGTTGAGGATGTCCGTGATGAGTGTAGCAAGTATGGTGTTGTCAAATCCATTGAAATCCCCCGGCCTGTTGATGGAGTTGAGGTTCCTGGCTGTGGAAAGGTACTTAATGGTTGTAGGGTTGGCGGGATAGCTATTGTTCTCTTAACATAGAATGCCTCTGTTCTTATTTGGCTCCATGAGCTCTAAGGTATACATGGGACATAGAAGGTCCCAATCAGATGGCTCTGCTCTAGAGCACAAACCTTATCTACTACAGAATGAAGAGATTGAATCATGGGAATCCAAATCAGGATTTCATTAAAAGTGTGGCTTAGTGTCCAAGAATGGTTTTATGTTTTTTGCCTTTGCAGAACCTTCTGGTATCCCATTTCTATAAAGTAAATTGAATACCCAGTGTGCAAATGTCTGTGACGATCCAATATAACTGATGAAGCTTCCAGGATAGGAAGCGAAACGTCTTATTTTTCCTCAAAAAATCATTCCAGTTGTCTTTTTCAAAATAAAAACCATTTTTGATACCCAGTCTGCAACCAAATGGCTTACTTAACAAAACCTCTACTGCCTTTTCAATTTACTTTATAGAAATGGGATACCAGAAGGTTCTGCAAAGGCAAAAAACATAAAACCATTCTTGGACACTAAGCCACACTTTTCATGAAATCCTGATTTGAATTCCCATGATTCAATTTTTTTCATTCCATAGTAGATAGGTTTGTGCTTTAGAGCAGAGCCATCTGATTGAACCCTTCTATGTCCCATGTATACCTTAGAGCTCATGGACCCAAATAAGAACAGAAGCATTCTATGTTAAGAGAGCAATAGCTTCTTCATTTGCTTCTAAAACGCCATCCCCACCATTAAGTACCTTTCCACAGCCAGGAACCTCGACTCCATCAACAGGCCGGGGGATTTCAATGGATTTGACAACACCATACTTGCTACACTCATCACGGACATCCTCAACAATCTCTTCATATTCCTCATCATCCAGGAGTTCCTCAGGTAATACCATATTCATGAGGCACAGCACCTCAGTTGGATGACCACCCATCTGTACTTGTGAACTCATTAGACCCGGTACCTGTAGGGTCACTGGGGTCTGGTTTATTGTACTCTGGGGGGGGTGGGCAGCAAGAGAAGAGAGAGAAAGCCACAGACAGAAGAATTCAGTGACACAACCATTTAAACTGTCATTTCCAAATACGCACAAAAATCCTGTATTTTCTTTACGAGCTTTGGTTTTATTTTCTGGAAGAATTCAAAGTATCTGTTTCTTCAATCTCAAATATACCAAACAGCTACTATTAATACTATTTTAAAACCAAATCTCAAAATCTGAAACTCTGGAAAGTGTTACTTCTCGTGTCAACGAAATAGCCAGTTTTTGTTTCTTATAACTGGCAGAAATAAGCAAAGCAGAAATAATAATTTCTGATTCTCAAAAATGTAATAACTTTTGGATATATACTGTAATTCTTCGGGTAGATATTGGTTACTTTGGAAACTGCTTTTTTAGTTCACCAGAAATCAGCATGATGCCCTATTCTTCTAATATATGACTTCAATGCATCAGCTGATCATGCCAGTGCCTATGTTTTTATAAAGACACCATTTGTTTCTGCAGGTATTACTATTTCATTTGAGTTTTCAAATTATCCTAGGTCCATGTGCATACCCAGCTAGATAGTTTTAATATAAAAATAAGAATTGGATTCAGAAATAAATGTGATGCAAACATTTTATTATTACAGCTCCCATGTACAGAAGTACAGAAAATAAAGTCTATGCACTAAAGAGACCTTTATGAAAACTAAAAAGGGCTTTCACCATCTGAACAAGTCTTTTAGAATACCATGAAGCTTCCTGGAATACTCAATTAGAAATTGGTGGTAGCAGCTGAAGGGAGGGAGTGAAAGTGCTGGAAAGACAATGGGGACAGTCAAGCCAGCCAGACAGCTGCACTGGGGGCTTCTGGGTAGAGAAGGAGAGAAAGAAGGCAACACACACCAGCCTTGTCTATCTCATTTGGATTCTGTTTCGTCTGAAATCCAGAGCCAGTAAAGATGTTTTGATATTGCCAAGCCAAAGGTGACATGAAACAGTCACAGCTGTTCCAAATTTGAAGAATTTCCCCTACTTCATGCACACTTATTTCCAGGATAACGTAAAAGGCTTGGGAACCTTGTTTGGCCTGAAATTGCTTCTCTCTTGTTAAGCAAGGCAAGACATGAGTAGTTCCCTTATGCCTGCAACCCTTAGCATTTGATAGTATTAACAAGATCAATCTTCTAACTTTCAGAAACCAAACCTGAAAAATACACCCTGGAAAGGTTTTTCCTTGGTACCATTTCTCCCTCATCCCAATCCCTTTCCTTCCTCACCAGGGTAGCATTCTTGGCTCCCACGCTGGCTCTCTGCACCAAAAGCTTCTTGTCACCCAACTGCATGCCGTTCAACCCCGCGATGGCCTGCGAGGGCAAAACAAAAGTGAATCCAGACACTTCAAAACTTGAGCCTGTGAAGCCACCAACCACACACCCCTCTGCCCCAGGCTCCAAAACATCCACACATTCATACACAAAAAGTAGCTTCTTTTATGCCCCCTCCCCACCAGATTCCTACCTGAACTGCACTGCTCTTGGATTTAATACCAGATTTAGGTTATTTACCTGCGGGGCCTCAAAATCAGCATGTTTTTTTAAAAAATAGATCTTGTTGGAAGGGATTAAGATGAGTCAACAAGACTGTCTGCATGAAGGAGAAGAGNGAAGAAACAGTTTTGTGGAAAGGAGTTGAATGAAAATGAAGATTTTTGGAAAGTTTATAGATCCAGAGTACCATGTACTGGCATTTCATTCAGCTCAAAGTTACCAAGAGCTCAGTCTCCTGTACTTTAAACCAATGGAATGCTTGTGCAACAACTTCTACAAATACAACATTGCACTGACCTAAGGAATACAAACTATTTGCATCCAAACATAGTCCCACAAAAACAGCATCTGAGAAATCTGTAGTCACAGATTTGTCAATTTCTACATTACAGAAGCAGTGTGCAGAATTCTTCTGGCAGAACTCAAAGATGGTAGATAGCCTAATTAAAAATAATAACTTCCATCTTCTATTCTTAAAATTCAACCAGCATTACACTTGTACAGGTAGTTCTCCTTTAATGATCATTTGTTCAGCAACCAGTTACACATGATACTTACAACTGGTTCTCATAATTGCAAGCCTCAGAGCATCCCCACAATCATGTGATCATGATCCAGGTGCTTGATGCCTATCTTGTAATTATGACAATGCAACATTGTATGGTAACATGATTGCCATTTGCAATTTTCACTGCCAGCTTTTGACAAACTCAATGGAGAACTCAGCAGGAAGTTGCAAATGGTGATCACCTGATGTTGCATTTAATGCCAACTAACAAACGTGCCAGAACTAAGTGTTAGTCATGTGACATTGCATTTAGTGACAAATTCTGATTCCTATAACCATCATTAAGTAAGGATTACCGTACATTAATGATAGGTTTTGATATTGTTAGCATCTTTGTTGATAAATTTCCCTTTGAAAAGCATATTAAATCATCTTAATTTATCCCAAAGGTGCTTTTTCAGGAGGCAACTGGACTTTGTTTTTGCTTTTGAAGATGTTTGGCTTCTCATCCAAGAACCTTCTTCAGCTCCAGCAGAATGGTGGGGAATGGAAGGATTTATATTCCTTGCAGACAGCTGTTCATTTGCATAGTTTTAGAGGGTTGTTGAAGCAAAAGGATGTAAATGACCAGCTGTCTGCAAGGACTATAAATCCTTCCATTCCCCATCATCCGGAGAGAACTGAAGAAGCTTCTTGGATGAGAATGGAAACGCCTTAAAAAAAACAAAAACAAGAAAGTCCAGTTGCTGCCTGAAAAAGCACTTTCAGGACAACCATGACCTGGATGACTGAGACTCTCTACAGACACCTTAGTTTACAATCAGAGATTTAAAATTGAGGAAGTTGCCCCAATGACACCAGGGAATTGGAAAAAAAATGTTTAATTATGAGAGACAACACTAGAGAAATAGTTGTCCATACACACAGCGTAGAAGAAAGGAAAATACAACAAAAAACAGGCCCACTCTTTTGACAGCAAAACTCCTTTTAGCAAAAAATCTGAAACATCACAGAGAAAGGAGGGGAAATATGGGATAAGAGACAACGTTTCTACTACAGAGTAACCATCATTGGGAAACCAGTGGGGTGCATGGGTGGGTGGGCTGATGGTAGGTTTAGAAAAGGAAGGAACTGGGACAAATGGAAAGGGAGGGGGGGAAATACAGATTTTGGCCATAAAATATAAACAGGCTATGCTGCTAAAGGAGCCTCTCCGGCCAGCGAGTTGCCCCT